GACCCTCCTTTTTTCATGCTTATCCTATTTTTCTTTTGCACAGAATGATGGGGCAAACATAGACGTGATGCAATGTCCTGAGGCTATGACTTTCGTATTGTTAAACCTTCATTTCGTTCATCTGAGAGATTAAAGCTGTTGCATAATGTACTCATCTGCTCTTCTATGGCAAAAGCAGCCATAAAACTCGCTCGGCTTCGAATTTCATCAGTTTTGAATTCTAAATTTGTGGTGAATTTGTTGAATTGTTTATTCTGTTCACATAAATCTCTAGTAAAAACTTACCTAGGTCATTTGGAATCCGCTTAAACTTTCAATTTGAAGACCAGCGTTTTCCAGTCATTGCACTTCCCTGGAAAAATTGAGAATGTTGGTTGCTGCCACCCACATGTCTCTTTTCACCTTTCCTTCATTGAGCAGTGCAAGCCATTTCCCCCCTGAAGCATCACATATATATTAGTGAGTTTCTGACTGAACTGAGTGAATGATTCTTTTTATGAGACGGTATAGAAAGCAAATTGTCGTTGCACTCGCCAATATTCAACTGAGTACTCGTTGGAAGATTTATTTGAGAGCACTTTATAACTATTCTTTTTTCATTCTTTTGCTTAAGCTGTCATAAGCCGTGTTTGGTTTGAAAAGTTTCCTCATTCATTTCCGAATTGATCTTTGTTAGTTCCGGAGTTTCGAAAGACACACAGAACGGTTGATTGTTTTTTTCTTGTTTCTATTTCTCTATGATATATCTCTCCATCACTTACACCACATATTCGTTTTTATAGTTTTAATTGTTCGGTTCTCAAGCAGTGTGGGTATCATTCTGTTTTCAATGGAAATAAGTTTTTCCATAATTTACTTCTTGAATGCTTGGAGTGAAATCATACGCACGATGACTATTTTCCGAGTGAAGTTGTGTCAAGTGCTTAGCTGACTATATATTTTATTCCATAGAGCTAATAGGTCTACTGAAACAGCTCTCGGTTGTATGGAAATGCAATCAGTCCATGAGGGAATGACATCAATTTCAAATGATGACATAACTTCCTTTCTAAATTAGAAAACATTTACTTTAACTGTTTTTTAAACCATATATCTTTTTTCAAGTGTTTAACATTCTCTATAAAATCCATATAATCATTTAACAAGTGTTGGAAATGAATTAATCATGTGAGAAGGACAAGATTTGACAGTTAGATGAATCAAAATGATGATCTCAACGTTATCTATCAATAGTATTTCCACAAGAGCATTGTGATCTTATTCTAACTTCCGATCCCCCTCACGACCTCTCATTAATTTCTGAATTGTTACATTGCGAGTTGTTTATTATCATTTCTGAGCTTAATTCAAAGATATGTCAAGGAAAAAAAGAGAGAAAGTGATGATAGAAATGGAAAAAAACATGAGAGAAAATGTATGTTTTTCTCTTCTTCATGGCTTCTCTCTGTTTCACCGAGAGATGCTGCTTTCATTCTCTCATCCTTACAATTTCCTGTCCAGACAGTTTGTTGTGCCTTTGTCGAAAACAGTGAGAATTGTCGGAGGCTTAAACCGACCCACTCGTTCTACTGTTATCACATCAATTGACGACAAAGTCGTCATCAGTAATGCAACAGAAAATCCACGACATTCTGCTGCACGTCGTTGTTGTCATTCGAAAGTTCGCTTGTGGTCGGCTAGTTGATGACCACGAGCATTCAGTTGTAACATGATGTTAAAGATTAAAAGAATGTTATAAACATACACATCCTGTTGAACTTGAATAATTAATTAATGGGAAAACGACTATCAGTTTGAACATTAGATGATACTGCTCCGCGTGATTTTCAAGAAACGTTCAAGTTTTGTACTTTTCTTCTTCTGCAGTTTCTTCGTTGATAGTCACATATTCAAAATAAAAGAATTTTGAGGTTTCTATTAATGCATTTTTTGATTAAAAAAACCTATGTTTAAACATTAAAATACGTCAGCAGTGAGTGTCTCCTTTTTGAAAAAGGAACTTCGTTAGTCTGAAGCTTCTTCAGCTACGTATGTTTCTACTGTTGGTTGGGGACACTTGCAATCATTCAAAAATCAGTTAGGCGATGGTTCTTCAATCAAGAATCATCACAAATTGGTTTGCTTAGAATGTTTTTGATCGGAAGAACAGCTGATTGAATGATCTTCTCGTACAAGTGGACACACACACCTTCAATGAAAGAGAAGAAGGGCATTGTTAGTGGAAAATATTCATTAAACTTTCCATTTGAAAAAATAAATGAATTCACGTGGTTGAGGACACAAAAAATACTCTCTCGACGTCATTTCAACATTTGTTTTGTCGGACAAAAACCGAGGATGGAATATGATAAAGTCAGCTAATGTCTCCAAGGATGCTTCACATTTAGAAAGATATTGAATTGTTTCATGTCCATTTATGAACAAAGAAGGAAATGGTGTTAATGACACTTTAGGAACTTCCTCCCAAACTTTGCTCTTATGGTTTTAAGAACAGGCTGAAATTAAGTGAATAATGGATATAATACTCACACACGCATAGTTAGCAAAGCCCTCGCACTTTAAGAACGGGAGAGAGAAATACTGATAGTAGATACATCTGGTTATGTTGTTTCTACTTTCGTATTTCATTATTTGTAGTTTCTCGTGATGTGATCTTGACGTCACTTATTCAGTAATCTAAGCTCAAATAGTTTTACCTCTTTGTTGAAGATAAGGCTGTCTGATTGGAAGAGAGGAATAAAACTAATAAAGGAGTGGAAACAATGCCCTTCGAAATATTTGAAGCTTGTGTTGTAAATTAAGCAAATTAATTACATCATCACCTTCGAACTACTACTTCGCCTTTGTTCAAAAAATAACAGCAAAACACTTCTGTATATCTCAAGGCTATGTTTATGGTCTTTGCTAATGCTTTACATTGTGTTTGTCGTCATTTTCATCATGCTGACTGTCATAAACTACATTTCATCATTGATGCTATCACGATCATCAGCATCATTGGCCAATATGAACTACTCATTGAATGATTTGTCACTTTCTCCACCTTCCAAGTTTCAATTTCATTTTCGAAATTTTTGTGACTGTATAAATGAGATGGAGTTCCCACATTTTCGCATATGCTCCAAACACTTCAAATCTTTTCATAATTTTATGTTTCTTACCAAATCCCTGAACATATACGGCGTCATCCGCCTGCGCTCTACTATATGTGATTGATGACGTCATTTCAACTTTTAAATTTGGCAACGAGGAGGCGGTCGAGATGAGCAAATTCGTTACCTCTCCCTCTCTTTTTCTCTTCTGTCTCTCATTATCTCATGATTTTTTCGCATCTAAACAAATAGGTTGTGGACATCCAACTTCATTCTCGTTAATGTTCATTTAAGTTGTCCTTAGAACTAGCTTATATTAAGCCTCATCTATCTATGGACTCTACACAAGTTTTTGCTTATAACTAGTACTAGTTGATGATAAGTTAGCGATGGAGTGTTTTGGTGGTCATAGCTCGATTTCCACCTACTCCTTCTCTTCTATTTTCATTTTCTGAGCTATCTATAGACAGTTTGCTTCATATGTCCTCGGGCTATGTAGTCAAAATGTCTGAATAAATCCACCAAATCTCATTTTCATTGTTGTTGTTGTCTTCTTCCCGTCTGAACATTAGGCCATCGAGAGGGTGGCCTCACGACGTGGCCTGTCACATCCTGTGCAACGTGAAGCCTAAGCGCGAGGGCGGAGTTGAAATTCGGACAACCATCAGTGCCGCTATAAATCAACGCTTCTAATGGGCTCGTCTGAAAAGATTCAGCTCACCGGTCAATGCGCTTATAAGCTAGTGTTAACGTGACCTACTGTGTTTTCATAATTTTTTTTCGCAAACCCTAACTTGTGCCACTCCAGTCTTTCTTGACGTCCCACATATTCCGGAATTTCATTTAGTTCCACAATGACAATGACATGAAGCTGAATGATATAAGACTAAGCTTTCATTTGGGGGCATTGGTAGTGAGTCTTCCTTCCTCTACTTTTCGAATCCCAAAGTACATTTGAAAACATTTATTTTTGGTTGAATAACATGTAAAATTTCATATTAAATTATTCATATATTTTCTATGATTTTTCAATATATTAACCTATTCCTCGCCATTAACTTCTCTGATCATTATTCAGATGGCGTTCTCGTCCTCCTATACGTCTCCTCAGTGCTAATTCAATTAAATATTCAACTATGTCGATTCATTTTCAAATTTTAAATTAATTTCCTAGTTTGAGGCGTTTTCATTCATAAATGGCCTCATTTAGATAAACATTAGTTTTATTCAAATATTGAGAGAATCTCTATGATCTCCTCAATTCCGCTACTCCCTCACCCACGATAATCTTCTGATCTTGTAACCCTGAGGTTACAGAGCAGCTAGTTTTTTCTGTTCTTCAGATAATATTATTCAATTTGAATTTATTTTCTCTTATCTCATGCAGAACGGATTGACCAATGCTCGTCTAATACCTCATCTCCGGTAATTCGTCTCTTCTTCTTGTTTGAATCTACTATTGTGCTTTGACTTTCTCCAAATTTTTTTCTGGATGTCTGGATCATTGGAACGTTTCTTCCTTCATTACATCATGCTTATTCAAGATTACATCATTTACAACCATTTATTAGTTATATATATATGTTTCGGTTCCTAATAGACAAGACGAATCATTTCAAAAAGCTTTGTTAGATTTCGAAACCTCTGTAATCGTCCCACTCTTCCTCCCCCTCTCATATTTTGCAATGCCTGTTCGTTGCGCTTCAACTTCTGTAGTATTCTCTTTATAACTGTTCAAGAGCAGCAATATTCGTATTCAATACTTTATATCTTCTCGTACAAGTCGTTAAAGGTCTAATTTTGATTCTTTTCAGGTAAAGCTTTTCATCCGTAAAGGATTCGACAAGTTTCCGAAACACATACTCCCTTGCCTTTTATTTCTTTGTTTTGTTTGAAAAACTGGAAAGGATGCTAAGAATTCTTATCCTACAGGTCAGAACTGAATTCGTTTACTTTATCTCATATCAGTTCGGAATCGTTGTTGTCGAACAGGTGATTTCTATATCACTTCTTCGAACTCTCAACTTCCGTTTCTGTGTTCTCTTCATCCTCTCTTTCTCTAATCCAACTTAATGCGAATATGAATTCCAAATGTTTTTTCAGGCTTTCGTGTGCACCATGTGCATTGCTTATCCATCATACATCTTCGTTCCAGCTGCCCTGTAAGTGTTTTTCAACTTTTTCTTATAATTTAGCGTTTCGTTCTCTCTTCTATTTCTCACCAAACTTTGTTATGAGCGACAAGAAATTTCATTTACATGTTTATTTACAAAAAATATGATTGATTAACTCATAACTTCATGATGTTTGGATAGAGAAAGAATTTGATAGAAGAGAGATGAGCTAGCTTTTTCGACGAAAAAGAAAGGTGGGAGGAAATTAGGAATTGAAATAATCATTTACTGATTCTCATGAATAGAGCGAACACTTATAACTTTTATCCTATTATTCGATCTCATTCATTTGAATGATTTCCTTCATCATCTGATTTCAGTCGACCAAAACGAGCATTCGACCGTGTAGAAATAGGAGCCTTCGGCTTGGACAAACGTTCTTTTGATCGCTTGGAAGGTTCAGCTGGGGACTTCGGTCTTAACAAGCGGTCTGTAAGCGGAGCTTTCGATAGGTAAGTGAATACAGCATAGTCTTTCCTCGAATCTAGACGAGATGAAGCAAAAATAATGGGAACTTACGTTTTCTAATGGCCTTTACATTTCAGATTAGATTTTGCTGATTTCGGTCTGCGACGTAAGCGAGCTTTTGATAGAATTGCTCGTTCTGAGTTCGGCTTGAGACGGAAGCGTTCTTTCGATCGTTTGGCTCGATCAGAGTTCGGTTTAATTAAAAGGAATGATCCGGAAATGAGCAGTTCGTTGTTTGAAGATGATGAAGATCGTTTTGATAGAGGTTAGTTCTTATCAGACACGAAAAATTCAAGTGCAGAAAACTTGTTGTGCATAAATATATTTAAATTTTCAGAAGAAGCCGTACGTGATTTAGCCAAATCCATAATTTCTCTACGTCATCAACAAGAACAACAACATCCCATTGAACAACAGCAGCCATCTGATCAGCTCCAATAACTCATCATTTCGATTCTAAATCGGAAATTCATATGATGAATTAAAAATGATGAAAACTGTCGACAGTTGTCAAGAAGATTCATGAAACATCCGAGACGATTTATCAACATCCGTCCATCTTTCCCTCCAGTCCCTATTTACTTCAATACCTATTATCTTTTATGGCTTGTTCCCATAAAGGAATCATGTATAATAGTTAAGTATTCAGAAGTTAGATGATTAATAATCTGGACATTTATCTTTTTTTCTTTTCGTTCGTCTTGTCTATCTCATCTACCAATGATCTCAGATTCCCGCAAGTTCCCATTAAAGATGTACAAAAAATTCGTCGCAAGCCATGCTTGCTCTATTTTAATAAATATTTGTTAATAACGATATTAAACAGTTTGCAAATTGTCTAAAAGTCGGTGTGTATCCATCACGTACATGACGGGTGTCATCTCATTTTCCGGGAAGGCCGCAATCATCTCATGTTTTACTTCAATCCTTATGTTTGTTTTTAGTGAAACGCTTTAACTGCGAACTTCAGAGTGACGAATATGGATGATATTCCAAGTTTTCTTCGTTCTTCGCGGGCTAATGAACGGAAGCTTTGGAAAAGTTGTCTTCGCGACATTACGTGAATGATTTGCAAACGGGATGATTTTTCGAACACAGAAGTAATGGAAGTAATGCTAGGCAACAACTTCCAGTGATAAATAAGTACTTCCTTGCTTCAATTTTCAAATTATGATGGTTATTATATTGACTAGGTAATTTTGGAAAGTTTATCTCCAGACTTTTCAAATCCATGGTATAGTTTTTTCTTCAGGAGAAATTAATACATCACAACCACTCATAAAAAGGCACTGATGTGGACGAATACTGTGACGTAGCTCATATGAAGAATAAGCAGGGTCCTGAATACATGCATATTCACAAAATATCAAGAGGTACGTTTACCTCTGTGAGACGTGCCATGCAGGAAGGATGTTTCGCAAAATTAACGAAAAGTCGAGCATTGTCGAATTCTGGCCAGTCAAGATACATAGATTCGTGGACCATCATAACTTCAGCGTTCATTACGTACCCAATGGTAAGCTGGAAAGAAAAGATGAATAAGGCAAGTAACTCCTGACATAAAACTACTTTTTTAAATTTATAGTTATAACTGATCTGAAAATGCGTCAGAGTGTTTCCTTCCACATCAAAGCGTCGAGCAGCATCTGCAAGTTGTTCTCAGCAAATATAGAAGCTACGTTTCATCGCAGAACATTTTGGTTTTGGACTAACCGCTGTGAGTTGGAATGTAGACTCGTGAGGCTGGTAATATATCCAATGTTTTTTCAGCATCAAAGCAAACAGATGTTACTTCAGCACCTCGGAAGCATAACCGCATCCTTAAACTGTTGTATTATTCCAGACATGTAACACTTTCACCATGGGCATTCCAAAGGATTAAGCACTTGTACACCGAAGGAATAGCTAAATTTTTTGACGACTTCACAATCTGAGATCTGAAATATTCATTCTTCATTGCAACATTGCAATCAATACCTTATCAAATGTATATAATATGAAATCAGAACTAACTCCCTTCTTTTTAGTTATAGCACTAAAAAATATGAAATTAGGACAAGCGGTAAAATCGTTCCTCACTAAGATGATAAACTGGAAACAACATGCAGAGGTTCTTTGAAGTAAGAGCAAAAACTGTCTTCTATGATTTTGTATTTTTCCAAATAGCCATTAATAATCAATTTGTTATAGCTTAAGGGACTACATTAAATCTCCCAGTGCCAGTCTCACCTTTTGTCAGAATATATCTTCATTGATTTGAAAAAATAATCATCAACAATCTGTCCGTTTTCCCCAACGACAAAAATTTGGTTGAATGAGGGAACACTGTCCAGTTGCGAGACAACAATATTGCAGTATGGGCTGATGAAAACAGGTGAGCTTTTCATATGATGTGAAAAAAACCTTGATGTTAAAAGTAGTAGCTTTTTAAGCCTTATTGTCCTTGATGTTTTCTTATCCTCCTCAGTTTTACCATTTGAATAAATCCATGGATGGATTGAGTATAAACCGCTTGCATCTGCTCTCAAAAGAACTTCAGTGGACGGAAAGTAATATGAGGTATCTCCTTCTGAAATCGTAGTGGTTCTGAGCAGCATTGAATAAGATGTTGATTACGATGTACTTGGCTGGCCACAGGATAGAAAGTTATACTATCTGGCGAATCCACAGCTACTTCACCGAACTTAAAACCACTACGATTTGAAGGTACTTGACCGTTGGATATACGTACTCTACAATGTTTCCTTATAGTGTACGTTTAGCTAACAAGGCTTCAGTGAGTCAACACAATGATAAATAAACTAACGCCTGGCATTCAGTCTGTGGCGCTAAGTAAAACAAGATATTTTTTGTAATGTCTATATCCCACAACGTAGCATATGTGGGCAAATCGAGAGGAACGTTCTCTCTGAAAAGAAGAATATATCACCAAGCCCTGGCTAACCAACGGTCGAGAAGCTTCCATACGAAGAACTTTGTTTTTGGCCAGAGTGAAGATTCCAGAATTTTCCTACAAGTCCATAGCACAAATTTTCAGGAGATATGTTTTACCTCAGCCATTACATGGTGACTAATTAAACTTGTTATCAAAAAAGTTTTCGACAGCAACGAACATAAACCAGTCATTGCTCTAGTTAAAGCAACGCGATTACTCTCTTCTTCGAAACGTTTTCCACGCAATACGTGAGTACATGTTTATGCAAATCAGCCGATCAATAATCAAGCTGATTGTTCGATCCACGTGTTGTCCATTATCGTAGTAAAGTTGGGAGAAAAGCAAAAAACGCTAGCTCTCTTTTTTCTACTGCCAAGTGGAAGGTATGGCGAAATGTTTCATGAGCAATAGGGTAACTTTATTTTTTTATATAGACACAGCAAAATTAATGAACAGGCGAAGCAACTAGCATAAACAGAAACTCTCAGGCAAGCCATTTCTTGTCATTTACAATTATTCAGTAATCTTCGTCATCGGAGTCGAGATTATTTCTTCTTCGGTCAAACTGTAACAGAGCTATTCGTTTTGGAGACTTTGAGTTCAACAAACCGTTACAGTGGTAGTGCGCTGGGTTTGTTGAGATACACGCTCCATCAATTGCTTCAACGATTCATCAGACATTTTTCCTGCAATTTGACCCCTTCTGAAAATTTTTTGCAAGTCTATTATTAATTATATAACAATCTTACCTCGCCATTCCGATTAAAGTTGCTTCAACAGCTTTGGCTTTGTCAGGCTTAGCTGCTGCTAAGTTACTCAATCTCACTATGGCTTGTTGATCCAATATCTTAAAACGAGATGATATCTAGAACCGAAGACATAACTTACTTGAGAAAGCATTGAATTGACTGCCATTTCTTGCTTCTCAGCCATTTCCTGCTGCTGTCTCATTTTATCTTCTTGTGATTTAGGTTCTTGAGCCATTTTTAACTTCAATTAGATTAGTTTAAATATACATTAGTCAAATTTTTTCCGATTCAATCGAACAAGCATAGTTCTTTAAATATAAGATTCATAAACATATGTTCATCGACGAAAAATTACGTATCAAGCATGATGATCAAGTGCTCAGTTTGCCCAACAAGAAGTGGAAAACCGTGATTAAAATACTACAAAAAATTGTAAGAAATGCTGGTGATCAAGGAGGGCATGAAAACTTCATAGAATTAATAGAATAATTGAATTCTATGTCATCAAAAACTGAACAGGCTTAATTGTAACATTGCATCCGATGTAAGTAATTGATGATAAGAAGTATGCTTAGTCTTTTCAAGAAGAAGAAAGGTTAAATTCTCATCTAAAGTTTCTACGAACTGGGATTGATAAACCCAATTCACATGTAACGTAGTATCTTCTATTTCGATTTAGCAAACTTAAGACTTAAATATTACTAATCGAGTGTATCACTGTGCTACATTGGAACCCGGAACAAAGTATGCGCCAAGAGCACTTAAAATGTGTCTACATTTTTTGAAATGTGTAGTCGTACTGAAAAATGCCTTCACTGTGTAGTGTCATTAAAATAATTGAAATAATCATTAACATCAGCCATTTTAGTTAGAATGCGTTTAGTTAGGGGTTTAAGTAGGCACTTGTTTTCCGTATATCCTCGAACATCTTTTTCGTTGAGCAAAAACAGTTTATTGAAAAGATCTACTCTCTATAATCAGGCAAAGTACTTCGCTTACTTATTTGTTATTTGTATTTAATTGTTGCTGATTGTTTCAGATTCTTATCTCTCTCTTCAACAAGCTTAATGGGTTCTGTTGATCGTTCTCTCTATGTTTTGCCTAATGAGAGTCCCGTTTGCGCTCTTGAGTGCCAGGAAGCGTTTGACCGTTTGTTCTATGACTGATAAGCTTGATTTCAGTTTCTATTTTAAGGTTTAAATCCTCAGGAAAAAAGATATGCTCATCACATTGCCAAAGCGTCATTTGATGGAGCTCTTATAGTTTTTCTTCAAGTTAGTACTTTTATGTTTTAAATTATGTTAAAGACCTCTTCCAGGTCTCTCCGGAATCTGCTGGTATTTTTGTTGTTTTGCACAGGCTATTCAGTAGTGAGCCTGTGGACAAGCTGAAAGGTAGTTTTTTAACTTTTTGTTTTCGTTTTTCCAAGTATTCCTCTCAGAAAAAGCTCAGAACTTGGGTTGGACTGATGAAGAATGGGAGGCTTTCTTGGTTTACGTATCGGGATTCTATGCCAACAGTGGAAACTACAAAGGTTTCGGCGATAGCAAAATCGTCCCGGGGATCGGCGCGGTTAGTTAGTTAGATGATTTCAGCTTGCTGAAAATTTTTTTTATAGGATAAAATTGAAAAATTGATAGCCGTCAGTATTGCTCAAAAAAATAACCCAACTCTTATCCAAACTTGGCAGACTATCCAAGATAGTGTTGATTCACTCAAGCCACATCAACTGCAACTTGGATTCGGAAATGATGTAATTATTGGATTGTTTTTTCTAACTAAATTGATGGTTTAGGGAGTCACAACTTACCACAGTGAAAGTGTTACTAAAGAAGAAGCTGAGCTCGTCGATAGATTTTTCAAAGTTGGCTGAAGCTATTGTCAGTTTGTTATCTCGCCTTTTCAGAAGAAACACATTGAGTCCTGGAATAGTAGATTGTTCAAAGAAAAAGAATTGGTTGACGGCAAGAAAGTGTTTCGTGTTCGTCTAGCTAGTGTAAAGAAAGGTTAATACTTCTCTCTCTTTGTTTTGAATTTTTTTGATCCAGAAAGTCTGTCCGAAGAAGATTTCGAAGACGTGATCATTAAACTTGAATCCGGAGACTACTCTCCCATACTCTCTCGTGTTAATGAAAGTCTCACTAAGGTCCTCCTTGATAAATTAATGAAAGTTTATTCTTGTTTTATTCCAGGCAGCTGATTCTGCTCTCAATGATCATCAGAAGAATATGCTGTCAAAGTATGTTGAACACTTTGAAAGTGGTGATATCAATCTTCATAAGGTTCGCCGGAATCACTTTATGCTAATTTTTCTTAAAGGAAGGATCACGTCATTGGATTCGTGATGTTGGGCCAAACATTGAAAGCTACATAGGATTTATCGAAAATTACCGGGATCCTGCTGGAACCAGAAGTGAATTTGAAGGATTTGTGGCCTGTGTTAACAAAGAAACTTCAAAAAAGTTTGCACTGCTTGTCGAAAGAGCTGAGGATATTCTACCGCGTTTACCTTGGGGAGCTCCTTACGAGAAAGATAAATTCTTGAAGGTTCAAAAATTGCTGCTTATGACATTTTAATATTTCTTGTTATTCAGCCAGACTTCACCGCTCTCGAAGTTATTGGATTCGGTAGCAGTGGAATACCGTCTGGAATCAACATTCCCAACTGTCTGTTGTCTACATATTTCTGAGTTCATCTAATACCTATTTTTTAAGACGATGATATTCGACAGAACGAGGGATTTAAAAACGTTTCTTTGAGCAACGTAATTTCTGCTACACCCAAGCAAAAAATGAACTTCTTAGACGAAGAAGACGAAGTTCGCTCTAGTTGTTGGAAGAAATGAATGACTTTCTTCAGGATCTTATGTTTAAATATCACAAGGATTCTTTTGAAGTTCAAGTTGGATTGCACGAGCTTCTTGGGCATGGAAGTGGAAAACTATTCCAAGAAAATGCTGATGGATCTTTCAATTTTGATAAAAATACAAGAGACATTATCACTGGAGAAGCAGTGAGAAACTGGCATTGATTTCTTCTGTTTTCATGAGTTTTTCAGGTAACTTCTTGGTACAAACCTGGTGAAACCTGGTCTTCTAAATTTGGAGCACTGTCTGGAGCCTACGAAGAGTGTCGTGCTGAAGCTGTGGGTTATGTTCTCTGCTGTGACGCCGACATTCTCGAGTATAATTATAATTAGCTGATGTACCTTTTAGAAATTATTCGTTACAGAATTTTCGGATACAACGGAGAACTCGGGCAAACAGTGAAGTATGTTAACTGGCTCAATGAAATCAGAGCTGGACTAATGGCTCTCGAGTTTTATTCTCCCGAAAAGCAGAAATGGGGACAAGCCCACTGTTATGCACGTTATGTGCTCACAAGAGTATGCTTGGAAGCAGGGCAGGGTTTTGTGACTATTGAGGAATGTACTGGAGAAGACGGGCTTCCTGACCTCAAGTTCAAATTAGATAAAACTAAGATTGACAGTGTGGGAAAACCGGCCGTGTCTGCTTTCTTAGCTAAGCTGCAGGTCTGCTAATATTATATAATTCTATTTCTATCAATCTAACTTCAGGCTTATAAATCCTCTGGAGATTTCGAGAATGGATCGAAAATGTTTGAGTCTTATGGTACCGTAACAGAAGAAGCATTACGTTGGAGAAGTGTTTGTGTCGCACGTCGTAAACCAAGGCGCATTTTTGTTCAACCCAATACTATGATCAACGATCAAGGCAAGTTTGATTGTTCATGCTCAAGCAACTCTAAATTCTTCAGGAGATGTTGAGTTGGTTAACTATCCCACAACTTTTGAAGGTGTCGTCCAATCTTTCGTGGATCGTCATGATGATCAAATAATTACTGATCTAGAAACCTGCTGGAGAGCAGATCAGCAATGGTTCCCATCTGCTTTCACTCACTAGGAAACTTGTTATTCTCTGTTTTCTTCAGTACAAATAATTTATTCATACTTTTCATGATATTTTTGTTCGATGAAGTTATATCTTCTATTTATCTTGTGCTTATCAATGCGACATTCCTCCTTAACTCAAACGAAACTCTTCTTAGATGTCAGAAACGAATGAACATGAAAGTGAAGACCAGCCTAGCTTTGAATTTCCCATAGTTGGAAAAAAAGAGAAAGGTATCGAACTATCATAAATACGTTTACCTTGAAACAATTATCTAATCAGCTCATAGCCGAGGAATAGTTGGAGTGTTTACGTATGATATCGGCGAACATGGTTATGGTTTAATTTCAATAGGACACGATTCATTAAAAGTTTGGAAAGTGTAAGAGAATTGGAAAATCAGGAAAATAAAAATAATTCTTCAGAGATACTGATGAGTCTGGAGCTACAAATTTTTCCTTCAATCATGAAATATCAAAATGGCGTTGTGGCGTCCAGTCTTGTGATGCAACTGCTGACGGAAGATGTTGGTTATATAATATGAAATAGGCCTGTAATATATCACTCTAGGTGTTTCCATAATTGGCTTGGATTCAATATTATATGAAGTTATAATAGGAGAAAGCGGACCAGTCGTAACAGCTTATGATTTGGGCTACATGGAAACTTGGCATATACGAATCGCTCGGAACAAGATCAATTATATGACAAGTGAGTGAATTTCTATTTCTCCGAATGACTACAAATTTTTTTAGCGAGTTTCTCAGGGTTTATATCTGAGGTTAACATGTCAGGAGAGTTTTCTCGGAGAGAGGCTGTTAATCATGTGAAGCAAATATCGGTTATATCATACGTGAGTGTCATTTCGGGTTGAATAGCTCTTTATGCTTTACATTTTAGAGCAATGACAATAGGCTTTTGGCTGTCGGCAATCTGGAAGGAGTAGTTCGTACTTATGAAGTATCAACTTTCAAAAACTTGAACTCTTATGAAAGTAATTTTCATACCTAAACTACAGTTCGACTGTTCTCTTTCAGTTCACGCAATGAAAATTAGAGCCATAGTTTTCCTCCCTGACGACGACAAGTTCTTGACCGCATCGGACGATAAAACTTTAAAGCTTTTTTCACTGTGAGGACTCATCGCCGCTTTCATTCTTATATAACTTCTCCAGAACAACTGGTAGCACAATCCACACCTATTGTGGCTGTAGCTCACCAATATCTTGTGTTGCATTGGAACTGAATAAGTTCGACGGCAGATTCTTTGCTACTGGTTGCGTCAACGGTGATGTAAATAGTTCGGTTTTATCAATTCTCACTGAATAAGTGCCTTAGGTATTGTTCTGGACCACTTCTATTGTTGTCCCACTGTGTAGCATTTCTACTCAACATGAAGGCGGTGTAAGTTGAGTTTTCGCTTGTTGCATGAATATAGTGATGTAGGTATGGTCTATGGCATTCTCTCCTGATGGACGAAATCTTTTGACTGCTGGTGAAGATAAGCGGATCATATGTTACAATGTTCCGGACATGGATTTGCCAACAGAGTCATTAAACACTCTTCGGCCCATTGATGCACCTGTAGATGATGATGCTGGTATTGATATTCAAACATCTTATTTCATTCAAAAATTTAATCTCAGAAATGTCAGTCGATAATCCAGCCTTTAAAGAAGTTTATGTCAAACGAGACATTCATGATGACTATGAAGCTGAGCACTCGGTAAAGCCTGCCATTCGTGAGCAGGTTGATACAAACCATGACGATGAAGCAGACTATCACGGACTGATGAAGCCACAGATAGATCCTGTGCAACCCTATGACATAGATAAAGTGGAAATGGATACGAATAGCTAGGCGCTGGATGCCTCCCTTAGTTACCATTCCTTTCACGCTTCCAATGATCTGATTAATACTTTGTGTAGATATAATATAATATTTATTGAAGCATTAAAATCCACTATTAATCCGACGTCCATCTCACGTTCTCATCTTTAATTGTTGTTTTACTATTGTTCATCCATGAATTTGTTGTTTTTGAGATTACCGCCATGTTCCGTCAGGATCTAAAAATCGATGAGGATGATAGAAATGAATTCAAAATGCACTCGAAAAATGTATTGCCAGAAATTTCAAAATCGTTAGTGATAACTAACTAGACCTCAGTATTCTTTTATAGAAAATATGAAAGAAATAAAAACGGTAGAATAATGAGATTGAATCAACCAAACAGCAAGTATACTTGAATAAGTTATTACGGCTTGAAATCGTTCTTGCAGAGTAATTTGTGCATTTCTGAATACTAAAGGAGGGCGATTATTTCTTGGCGTCAACGATAACGGGAGGATAACTGGCCTGAAACTGACAGAGTTTCAGGTATGCATCATATAAGTTTGCACAATTAAGAAATCTTCAGTTAGACCATGCAATTTTATCTTTGAACCATACACTCGAGTCTTTCACCCCTCCTGTTCCTGCCAACCTAATTCGATGTGAGTTACTTATGTAAAGTATTAATCTCGTTGAAGTCAATTCCATCAAACTACGCAAAACAGAAGAAGATTCTTCGAACTATGACGAGATCTCCGATGTTTTTCTCAGTGAAGCAGCAGGGACTCTAGAACACGTCATAGGGAAACCGTTTTGTTACTGTTCGAACACTTCTGATCATCAAGCTTCACAATATTTGATTATAATTACTGTTTGTCAAATTATTTTTTTATATTTTCATAATTTTTTTTCTCCAGGTTGAACGAGCCAGAAAGAACATCTGGTACCAAAACGAAGAAGGACTTGTTTATATCCGCAGAAATGGATCAAATATGTTGTTAACGATGGATACATTGAGGCTTTTCGAGAAAAATCTGTTCACATCTGAGTAAGATTCTAATAAGAAGTTTGATTGTTTTCAAATTTTCAGATGTTCCCCTTTCCCAATATACAAACTGAAGATGACTATTTGGGATCATTTATTCGAAAATTTCCTACAACTGTTTTTCTCCATCGGAAATGGTCGCAAATGTTCACCAGTAGAATGCTAATTATGAATTTAGAGGTTGGAAGATAGTAATAAATCAAAAGTTTTCATTCATGTCTCCTTACTCAAGAATAATCTTGTAATTTCGATATGTGTTCACGTTATGACAACCTTCTACGTATTCTTGAAAATAGTTGAACGAATTGTCCGATTGCTCAACCTTCTCACTCAACGGTCATTTCTGGCAGTTGATTGTTGTTTCTTGTTTATTTATATGCAAGAGATTTACTGAATGTCTTTATTCTCCTTTAAGTGTTTATAATTAATGTTTGCCAACCTCAGAACTGACAGAACGGTTGAATTACATTACATCAGAACGGTTACATTCCTTTTGGTCATCTCTATCTTTTCCGCTCTCTTACTATAACTAACTCTATATTCTACATTCTTACAATTTCATTTATTTATTAGAGCCAATCTCGGCACCACTTGGCCGTTCACAATAGACAAGTAGCTAAGGAGGTGTGGACCGTGGGTAGAGGCGTGTGCCTCATACTCATCAGTCTTCGCGAGTTCGCAGTCCAGACTTAGTGGCAGAGCTAAAAATATTTTCACTAGTATGACTTATAGCGTTGTTTTTTCTGAGTTTTCTACCTCAATCCTTATTCTTCATCTATCCATATTCTTTTTGAATGCTGAAGCTACGCCCGCTATATTCGACAACCAAGTTACAGGTTAGTGAGAGCTTCATCATCAAGGATCTAGTCATTCTTATTTCAGACTTGCCAACAGTGAAGTGTATGGATGATCATTTGCGGCTTGTGTTCCAAACGCAGAAACCATTCCATGGACGCATATTTGTGAAAGGAATGGTTGACAAGGTCAGTTTGAAACATTCTATTGTTGTTTTTAAATATGACATAGTATTTGAAATATGTTGTTAACTGGTTTTCTTTAATGTTTTTCCTGAACAAATTGACATTTTAAGGAACCTTGCGAGAAACGTTTCATAGGCAACAAGAACACGACAATTGACTTCGAGTTAGAGAATGGATCATGCAATATGCGAAGACAACGAATGGTATGTTTAAGTAAGATTTTCCATCTGAAGATTATAAAACGATGAGGTCTTCATTTTCATAAGAGTTCCTTAGAAGGTTAACAAAATATGAAATTGGAAATCGGCGTTCAATAACCTTGGACCTTAGCAAGAGTAAATATACTTGTATACTGCTCTTAGAGGCGGATGATATCTACTTCTGAGGGAAATACATAATTGAAACTGAATTATTTTATAGAACAATGCAAACCAGAAAGGAATTGAACAATCTATAACAGTCATCATTTCATTTCACGATACGTTTATAACGAAGGTGGATAGAGCATTTCGCTGTACATGCTTCTATATGGAAATGAATACCGTGGTTACACAGAGTTTAACTGTGAGGTATTATTTTAATTAAGTATAGTATATTTTATTTTGAATGACCTTCTGCAGTCAATTACCGACCACTGATTTACAAGACAATGCTCGTTTACCTACCTGCACGTACACAGTACGCAAAGATTCCATTGACGGTCCTCTTGTACAATATGCTCGAGTAGGAGATACAGTGTACCATGTTTGGGAATGCGATAATGGTTAGATACTATTTATAAATCATTCTTCATATCTTTTGCTTTTGAAGATATGTATTCAATGTATGTTCATAGCTGTTTCGTGGATGATGGTTCAGGAAGCGATCAGAAAGCTTTACTAGATGAATCAGGATGTGCCATTGACACCCTCATCGTCCCCGATCTACAGTACAGCTCGGGTGCAGGCAACTTAGCTTATGCTGAGGTGAACGTGTTCAAGTTTGCTGATAAAGTATGTTCCATGCATGTTCGATTTCTCATAATGCGTGTTTATTTGAGGTGACTACGTATTTTCAATGTGCTATCACAACATGCTTAGTTGCCGAAGGTGGATGTGAGAATGTCATGGTAAACTAGTTGATTTGTTACAGCGAGAAGTTCAAGTTTATTCCAGCCACCAAAATGCGGTCCGATCCAAAAGAAAGCATCTCGTAAGAGAAGGAATACTGAACTATTAACAGAGGTTTGAAGTAATTTTAGCCGATTCTTTATTAGAACTTAAGAAATTTAACACTGTGGATGTTGCTTCACACGGAATCACAGTTCTCGATTTGATGGATGAAACTGATCAGCAATTTGGCTCTAAAAATATCTCGAACAACAACAGTTATGAGAAACCGATTCAAATGGAACCTGCTACTAGCCATGTCTTGAAAGAAGAAAATCTGAAATCTCCTTCAGATGTTTGTGTTCGATTTCAAACAATGATTTTCGTCCTCGTTCTAGGACTTTTACTCGTCACAATTATAATTTTAACTGTATTATACAATCTTTCCCATTCTAGACGACAAGTCACATTTTCAAAAACAGCCAACTTACCTACAAAATCTCGTTTTCCGTGATAATACTTTGTTTTTTCAATGAACATATCATATAAACTTGCTTTTCCTATTCCAAAGTGATCGTTTAACATTACTCATATTTCTAACGTTTACACTTAAATTCAATATCAAACAATTCGGAAATGGCAGACATTTGCGGATCTAATTTTGATTTCTTGAAGCACAGGATTTGTCTTGTTGTTCGGCAATTGCAATTCTGTGAAATCCATTTAAGGAAAGGATAGTTCAAGGAAATAAGCAAACTTCACTAATCTGATTTCTATATATGACTCCTATTTCGTTATCAATGAATATCGATCGAAGTAACTGACTGCAGTTAGATACTCTTTCTAATATGCACGCTAATCGTAGCCAAACTGAACAGTTTTCTTTTAGAATTTCCCTAAGGCAATGGAAAAACATATCATTCGTCACGTTTACAAAAATTTGAGACACCTGCCGCCTTTGAACTGGATATGGGCTGATAAAACAGTTACAACTAAATATATGAAATGGTGAGATTATAAAAAAATGTTTAACTTTGAGATTTTTTTATAGGCAACTGGGGTTCCAAATAGTATATAATAATGAAATAATATTGTCTCTTTATTGCTTTCTGAGCGATGAAATCCTCACCCCCCGTGATGAATGGTGCGTTACGGCAGACGTACTAGCAACCATTGGTGACACGAAAATAAGTTTGAAAGTATAACGCTTCAGATTATTAGAACAAACGAAAATACTGATTAATAGTATGAAGAAAGCAGTACATCCGTGACAAATATTCTATCTATGTCGAAAAGTGCTCTTTTGGATAGTTCAAACTTTATGAATGATGGAGATCTTCATATCACAGTTGAAATAAGTAATGTTAAACTTCAGAATCAGAGGTGATGTTCGAAAAAGTTAAAAGCAATTTGCTTCTCTCCAGAGAGTGTTTGTATACCGACTTGGACGAGGAATATCATAGACAATCGGCAGATGTGATACTACGATTGGAAAACGAAGAAATATACTGTCATAGTCAGGTACAAATAAATAGAAATAGAAACCGCTTGGTGTTTTAGTATCTACGATGGAACTCCAAAGTCTTCAGAAAAACTCTTGATCAGTTGGAAAAGAACGAAACTGGAAAGCCGTACACTGTCCAAATCACATTGGATTCCGACATCCAGTTACAGCATTTCAAGCATTTCATAGAGTTTCTATACACCCACACGCCTCCAGTATCAGGTTTGCAAACTTCATAAAACCAACTTAGTGCAGTTGCAACTCAGAACAAAATGTGAAATATATGGCTCATCTCGCACACAAATATGAAGTTGAAACTATTCAAACTGTTTGTGGAAGGTTCCTGAGAGAATATACTGGTTCACAACTGTCGAGTGTTGACATTGTTCTTTTGGCATTTGCAACTAACTGTTGGGCTTTTATGGTAAGTTATTGAGAAGCTTTCACTGAACTTTTCACATTTCTGGACAAAAAAGAATGGGCTCGAAGATTCACATCTAACACAGTCTGTGATTTATTCAAAAAAGAATACTATCAAAGGATGAAAGAAGATCAGAAGGTTATCCTGATGGAGTGCCTAAACTCCAGTTCATGCCAGTTGAATGAAGAAACCAAACCAATGCAAGAATAAGCGATGATTATCACCTCAAACTTGGTTTAGAAAGTAGTTTGACTATCCATTCCATTATGACAATTGTAAGTGTATTACGTATTATCGATTATATACCAAGGCAATTATTTTCTGTCAAATTTCCTAGGTTTTCTTTTAGATCTTTCTATACGATTTGTGAGATTCTTATTACCAAAATCCTTCTCTGTTCACTAATCTACATTGAGACGGGAGTGTACGTCGTTGTACATTAAATTCTTAATGGTTTCACTTCCACAATAATTCGCATTTCAATTTTTTTCCCATTAGTCTATAACAGAAATGGTTAGAGGAAGCGAATGTGATGTACGCTAGTGACTATACAAAGATACACATTTTTGAGAAAAAAGTTTCTCGCACGAGCGCTGTGAGCCTGAATGATGATCAATCGAAAAACAACTATTTTTCATTTTAAAACAGATAGAACCGAAAAAACGATAATTCCTCTCGATGCTATTTTTGGATTTTAAGCGAACGACTTTACAATTGTCATTCTTGTTGGGAACCTTCTTCAGTGTATAGTTTGAGCTGTGTTGGCTTAGAGTTTAGTGAGACCTAGAGGGTTATGCCTATCGATTAGCGCCAGTTCACTCGATTTCCATTTGTGGCCGGATAAGTGAATCTGTTTTCTATATAAGATAGTTCTATTGATTTGTGTTTATCTTGCATTATACTGTTATAAGCTGAGTTTGAGGTTTCGTGTAGAGCTTTCATAGAGAACAGCAGGCAGTGTGATAGGTTATGTGGCAGACGAGTGTTATGTGGGGGAGGTTTGCAAGTGTTTGGTTCTGCGGTTAATTGACTCTGTTGTTTCGTTCGTGTTGGTTGGTTAGGAGAGGAACGATTTTGAATTACATTGTTATCAGTCCATCCAAAGCTTTCT